CCCCACTGCGATGGAAAGATCAGGTGGAGAAGGACTTGGCTTCACTTGGCGTTTCCAATTGGCGTCAGTTGGCACAGAGGAGAAACGACTGGCGTGCTTTGCTGAACTCGGCCAAAATCGCTTAGGCGGTTACAGCGCCAAAAAAGATGAAGAAGAATGTCATGGTCGGCTGTGGATTGTTTTTCTTCGCAATTTTAGCACGCGCTTGCCACATTTTGTGTAGAAAATTTACAAAAAATCTCCAAAGCAAATAGTGGTGTGTTTTTTTAGATTGGTGTTTGCATGCATTTGCGACGATTCAAACACAAAATATCGCGACCCTATATAAGAACTAGAGTTTATTGCTCCAAGAACTTTCAACAAGCTGCAATATCCGTTATGCGGTTATGCCTACGTATTTTTGATATAAGCAAACTGTATTTTTCATGCCGTGTCAATTTCAAAAAATATAAAATGAGCTGCTTGCTGGCCAACGTTCAATAATTTTGTAATAAGTTCAATGATTTTTATAAAAAAATGCACAAATTGCATGCCATATTTTAGAATAATTTGTTTCTATCTAAAGAAATCGATATAGAAATTTAAATGCTGTTTTATACGCAAAAATACTTAATGAATAATAAATATAAGTTATATTCTATTTTTAGCACTGAATTCTTATTTGTATGAAAATAATGAAATCTAAACACCGAAATCATCTGGCCGGCCAGCATTTCAAAGATTAGATTCCAATAAAATTGTGGCCGAGTATTAAACAAATGAGTTAAACCTATTTAAATTTTTTACATTTTTACAAATATTCTTCAGGTTTATATAAGTTTCCCAATTACAAAAAAAATATATCTACATTACTAATATAGCCCTTATCTAATGCTTCAGTAGAACATATATTTAATAGTTTAAAAATGTGTAGGACTGACTTGAGGACCAGATTGAGCACTGATGTACTTGCAACAATATTATATCGTCGTTTAAAGTGCAAAACCGCGTATCAACAAAATGCAAAACCGCGTATCATCAAAATGCAGAACCGCGTATGTGAAATTTTAGAAATCATTTTCTAAAGTGTAAAAACATCCATATTTCAAAATGGTTCTCTTTTTTAAAAAGAAATCGCACTTCTGGCTAGTATATTTCAGGACGAATGGATAAGGATTGAGACAAGAGCTTGTGTGAGAAAATCCTATTTTTGGCAGCCAATGTCAGTTACGCGGTTTTGCAGAATCACGATACGCGGTTTTGTACTTTAAACGACGATATACAAACCAAGGCATAACAAATAATGATGATACTTTGTTTAAACAGCAAGAACAAATATAAAAACTGAATTGAAGAATGTAAGTAATTTTTATACTAAGTACCTGTAATGTAAAGAAAATTTTGAGTAATTTCTTCGGATTTTGAGGATTTTTCGTTGGTGTTTGGAAATTTGGTAATTATTTGTGGCAATTGCGAGGGGATATACGTTGTCGTTGTTTTATGTACATTTCTTGTTAAATTTTAAGTGGAATTTTTGTAATATTTTCAGTAACTTTGGGCAATGGCGCAATTTATGTGGCGCCAGCGCTATAAAACCAACACCAACTGTGTGCCGGCGCATGGTGCTAGCGCAATAGCGCCATTGGTTTTTCTATTCAACTTAAGCGCAACCCTTTGTTACAGTGCACTGATTTAATGTGATAACGATAATATCTTGCCATCTCCTACTGTAGATACCATCATTCTTTTATTTCTTTTGGCGCAATTTTATGGAATTTGGTCTGCAAAATTCTTTAAAGGTAAAAATTAAGTTAAATCGAATAAATGTTTGTGTTAAAAATTAGTAATCTATTAGGTATCTTCGATTTCATAAATAACGTCAACACGTGACAGCAACAGGTAAAATAGGGGAACAACCTGGCAGTATGGGCATCATCTATTTCCAGTTATCAATTCCAATGCCGAAAATATAAAAATGGTCAGTAAAATTGGCAAGATCGATTTATAACTTATACCATTCTTCTTCTAACTCATTTTACAAATCGTTTTAAATTTTTGAAGTTACAACGGCAAGTCAATAGACGGCAATAGATTGGTCAACATCCGCGTATTATATTACAAAGCCATTGCACAGACAGTCTACCATTTGCACTACTTAAAATTGAATGACACATTTTAAAACTTTTAATTAAATTAAAGTAAAATAAAATGGCTACAAAAAAAACGAGTGACATCTGGCTCAATTTTTCTGAGGAAAAAGACCAAAAAGTCACATGCAAGAGCTGTGGCCAAAAGTTGTCAGCGGAAAACAAGTCAATCTGTTCAGCATATGAAGAGGAAGCACCCCACCCAGATTATTTCGAGGCAGACAAACGTAGTAAGTGAAAACAATAGTGTTGAATCGGGGCCACCTCCTCCACAAAGTCTTCAACTGCAGCAAACAAACCAGCTAACCATTCAACAAATTTTTCAGTACTTTAATAAACCAATTGCACTGAAAAAAAAGGAAGAANGTACTTGCAACAATATTATATCGTCGTTTAAAGTGCAAAACCGCGTATCAACAAAATGCAAAACCGCGTATCATCAAAATGCAGAACCGCGTATGTGAAATTTTAGAAATCATTTTCTAAAGTGTAAAAACATCCATATTTCAAAATGGTTCTCTTTTTTAAAAAGAAATCGCACTTCTGGCTAGTATATTTCAGGACGAATGGATAAGGATTGAGACAAGAGCTTGTGTGAGAAAATCCTATTTTTGGCAGCCAATGTCAGTTACGCGGTTTTGCAGAATCACGATACGCGGTTTTGTACTTTAAACGACGATATACAAACCAAGGCATAACAAATAATGATGATACTTTGTTTAAACAGCAAGAACAAATATAAAAACTGAATTGAAGAATGTAAGTAATTTTTATACTAAGTACCTGTAATGTAAAGAAAATTTTGAGTAATTTCTTCGGATTTTGAGGATTTTTCGTTGGTGTTTGGAAATTTGGTAATTATTTGTGGCAATTGCGAGGGGATATACGTTGTCGTTGTTTTATGTACATTTCTTGTTAAATTTTAAGTGGAATTTTTGTAATATTTTCAGTAACTTTGGGCAATGGCGCAATTTATGTGGCGCCAGCGCTATAAAACCAACACCAACTGTGTGCCGGCGCATGGTGCTAGCGCAATAGCGCCATTGGTTTTTCTATTCAACTTAAGCGCAACCCTTTGTTACAGTGCACTGATTTAATGTGATAACGATAATATCTTGCCATCTCCTACTGTAGATACCATCATTCTTTTATTTCTTTTGGCGCAATTTTATGGAATTTGGTCTGCAAAATTCTTTAAAGGTAAAAATTAAGTTAAATCGAATAAATGTTTGTGTTAAAAATTAGTAATCTATTAGGTATCTTCGATTTCATAAATAACGTCAACACGTGACAGCAACAGGTAAAATAGGGGAACAACCTGGCAGTATGGGCATCATCTATTTCCAGTTATCAATTCCAATGCCGAAAATATAAAAATGGTCAGTAAAATTGGCAAGATCGATTTATAACTTATACCATTCTTCTTCTAACTCATTTTACAAATCGTTTTAAATTTTTGAAGTTACAACGGCAAGTCAATAGACGGCAATAGATTGGTCAACATCCGCGTATTATATTACAAAGCCATTGCACAGACAGTCTACCATTTGCACTACTTAAAATTGAATGACACATTTTAAAACTTTTAATTAAATTAAAGTAAAATAAAATGGCTACAAAAAAAACGAGTGACATCTGGCTCAATTTTTCTGAGGAAAAAGACCAAAAAGTCACATGCAAGAGCTGTGGCCAAAAGTTGTCAGCGGAAAACAAGTCAATCTGTTCAGCATATGAAGAGGAAGCACCCCACCCAGATTATTTCGAGGCAGACAAACGTAGTAAGTGAAAACAATAGTGTTGAATCGGGGCCACCTCCTCCACAAAGTCTTCAACTGCAGCAAACAAACCAGCTAACCATTCAACAAATTTTTCAGTACTTTAATAAACCAATTGCACTGAAAAAAAAGGAAGAAATAGACAGGCAGGTTCTTAAATTGATTGTTAAAGAGTACCATGCCTTCAGCATTGGTGAAAATTCGGAATTTAAAAAATAAGTATATCTTTTGAATCCAAATTATCACCTGCCAGCGAGAAAGACGGTTTCTTCAACTCTATTGACAAACGCGTACTCGGAAGTAATGGAATCCGTGAAAGAACGGTTGAAAAGGGCGTTTGCTGTTGGTTTAACAGTAGATGGCTGGACTTCGCGAGCCCAAGACCATTTCTTCAGTGTAACTGCGCATTACATCGTTGACGACGACAAGTCGACATTTCTGGCATCCGATTTGCTTACTTGTATGTCATTTACAAATCGACAAACGGCTGTCAACATAACTAAAATGTTAGCAGACGTGCTGAAAGATTGAAATGTTGCGCATAAAGTTACTGTCATTGTTTCGGATAATGCTGCAAATATGAAAGCGGCTGTGCGTGGAGGAGGTTGGAGGCACTGGGGATGTTTCGCCCATACGTTGAATTTAGTTGCGCAGTCTGGCTTGAAGAGGTTGGAGTGGTATTAGAAAAAGTGAAGGCAATTCTGACTATTTACCAAAAGCAGTTACGCCAGTTCGCAGCTGAAGCAGACAATGGAGGGTATGCAGATGCAACCTCTCAAGGTAATTAATGACGTTCCGACAAGATGGAACTCTACATATGAAATGTTGAAGCGATTTTTAATGTTAAAAACTCCACTGATCTCATCACTGGCTTTAATAAAATCTTCTGCGCGAGTTAATGAAGAAGTTTTAAACAATGTAGACATTTTGTCAAATGACGAATGGGTAGTTATTGAACAAAGCATTGAGATAATGGAGATGTTTGAAATTATCACAACTATGATAAGTACGCAAAAACATATTAGTTCTTCGACAATAATATTTTACATTAAAGAGCTGACAAAACATCTACACTCATTTCGAACTGCTGAACTCGTACTAACAACGCAAAAACTAGTCAAAAAGTTGCTTAGTGAACTTAGTGACCGCTTCATAGATTTGGAAAAAACGTATTAATTTCACAAACTACAGTTTTGGATCCGCGATTCAAAAAGTTTGGATTCATAAACGAAACAAATTATAAAACTACTGTAGCGATGCTGTACAACAAAATCGCAAGTGTAAGAGTTCAGAGTGACATCTTCTTAGAAAGTGACGTAGAGGAAGTAAATCTTACTAATATACAAAATCAGCGATTAGATAAAGTGTGGAAAGACTTTGATGATGAAGTTCAGCAAAATTTAAGGCCACAAAACCAACTCGCATCTGCAATAGTAGAACTGGATTAATATTTAGCTGAACCTATGCTGCCACGAAAGGATAGGAATGGCAAAGATCACTGCCCATTGCTATGGTGGAATCAAAGAAAACACATACATATATCCAAGATTGTACGAAATAATGAAAGCTAGACTATGCGTTCCAGCGACATCCGTCGCTTGTGAACGAATTTTTTCGCATGCAGAACAAATTTTAACACAAAAAAGAGAAAACATAAAATCATCCAAATTGTCGAAAATGGTGTTTTTAAATTATAACATAGATAATAAGGATTTTTGAGGATGAATAACAAGATAGCAAGACTGTATATGTGTACCTTATACCTAATCTTATTTTATTATTTATTTATTATGTATTATATTTATTTACAACGAAATATTTATTTTAAAAACAATGTGATATAAATATACAAGCTTTTAAAACAAAATTATAGTTTTAAACTCGTACCATATGAATTTTACTTACACTTATGTAGTGTATTACACCTTAAACGATGTATTATGTATGTATTTGAAATATTTTCGTTTTGTTTATGTTTTATATGCAATATAGTATTATAGTGCTTTGCAATGTATTGTTTCAACTCAATAAATTATAAAATGAATTCACTTTCCCTTCGAGTAATTTTTTACAGTGGGGGAAAAATCGGGTAAATTATACATACCTACTTCTATAATTTTAAAGTCATATAGCTAATGCGTAGGTGTTACCCAGAATTATAGGCAGCTTAGCGTCTTGGTTACCCACCTGGTTACCTCAACCAGCTTTAGAAGTTACTCCAGAGGTAATAATGGAGTTATAGTTATTCAAGTTTTTGGTTACCTTTTTCCCCTCTTAATCCTTTGAATTAAAAAAATCTTTTTAAGTTAAAAAATTTATTAACTCATAATTAACAATGTGTTTATTAACTAACATTAAATATTGTGGAAACGAATTAAAAATTATTTAGAGCTACTCTATTATCAGAAAAGCGCAGACAACATCCGAATTATTTTTTTTACATGTACATTTCGAAGTAATTGACAACTTTGCTCCAATGTGTTTAGCAATTTGCGTAAACAAATAACAAGTGGGAAACAGAAAAGTGCGTTACTACACCTTTTCAAGTTTATAATGAGAAAATACACATTGATAATGAGAAACGTAAATTCATATTGAGAATATATAAATTCATAATGAGAAATGTAAATTCATATCGAGAAAGTACAAATTGATAATGAAAAATGTAAATTCATATTGAGAAAGTAAAAATTGACAATGAGAAATGTAAATTCATATTGAGAAAATACAACTTGATAATGAGAAATGTAAATTCATATTGAGAATATATAAATTGATAATGAGAAAACGTAAATTCATAATGAGAAAATGTAAATTGAATTGAGGAAGCACTTGCACAGCATTCCTCTGGAGAACATCCGTATTACGTTTAGGTCCATATTCCCCAATGCTCAACCCCATTGAGAGTATATGGTCCAAAATAAAGCATCATGTAAGGGCACATTTACGTATACCACAAGTAAGTGGGACTGGGGTGTGCGAGCAAAGTGCAGTGGATGAAGCAAAAAACTATGTAACGGGAGGAGACTGCGCAAGAGCAATTCAACATGCAACTACATTCCACCCAGATGTTCTAAGCTTAGTCGATGTGCAAGTGGGGGTGTAAATGCGTTGTCCAACTTTAATTTCGGGTTGTATATGTACTTGCATATTACAAAATTTTTTGGCAGTGTCCTTTGATACTTGCTTTTATTTACCTAATATCGCGGCATTAGCTCGCAGACTCCAGAGTAATGTACTTGTAGCTCTTCATTTTTATAATTTTTTATGTTCTCATTATCAATTTACATTTTCTCATTATGAATTTACGTTTTCTCATTATCAATTTATATACTCTCATTATGAACTTACATTCCGCATTATCAATTTATATATTCTCAATATGAATTTATATTTCCCGTTATCAATTTGTATTTTCTTATTATGAATTTATATTTCTCATTATCAATTTATTTATTCTCAATATAAATTTATATTTCTGATTATGAATTTGTATTTTCTGAATATGAATTTACGGTTCTCATTATCAATTTGTGATTTCCCAATATGAATTTACATTTTCTCATTATAAACTTGAAAAGGTTTAGAATCAGTAGCCGACAGTTAGTATCAAGTTGCCATACGTAATGCGATCTATATGGCCCATCGGCTATCAGTCGCCATACATAACAGAGCCATTAGTTAATAACTAGTACTTAGACAATTTATACGTTCGTGAAGCGGTAGCCGCCAGTACCAATTTGGTAATGATCACTCAATTTTATCCACTGTGCTAAGAAATATTATACTGCTCCACTGCGATATGGTGTCAAACTTGTGAAGACAATGTCGGCAACATTCGGCATACGGCTGGTAAAAATCTATTTGATGTGATATTAGAGTTTAACTAATTGAAATTATACAAGTCCACTTTACCTTGCCATAGAAGCCCTATGTATGTCCTACCAATCGTCTTTCACAAAGCAAATAATCGTGGGTGTTTCCAAATTTGCATACAGTTTGAAAAGTGTTTGTTTGGTTTTCGTTGCTGCTTTCTGAAGGCTGATTCACATACAACTTTTTTCGCTTTGCTTGATAGTTCTTTGCTTTGACATATAAGATCGATGTAGGCATATGCATGAGTATGCTCACATAAAAAACGTTTGAAGCAAAGCAAAGCAAAACGAACCAAAATCTTGGGCAACTCTCAACTTTTGCCCGCTTTGGCAATCAGCTGTCTACATGTATCTTTTCTCGTGCGCTTGCATTTGCATTTAATGACAAAAATAGGGTAAATAAGAATTATTATTGCTATTATTAATGCATATTATTATATTGTTATCTATTTTAAAGATAAAAAATATAGAGAAAACGGAGAACGCAAAAGCTGTCAAAGCGTTTATTGTAGCATACCTTCTGCGTTTCACGGTTTGTTGTCAAAGTTTGAACTGTCAAGCAAAGCGAGGAAAGTCTTATGTGAATGGCCCTTGAATGCAGGTGTGCTTCATGATTCAATAATTAAAGGTTTGCTCATTATTGACATTAGACTTTTGACACTTCCTTAGCTGGCTTACAAAAGCTTTGCACACACACACGAACCCACACACAGTGCTTTGCTAAGGGAGTGTAAAGATTGGAAGGAGTTTAGTATTGTCTTAGCTCTACAGCCGCATTTAGGTGAGCATTAAAATGCTCCACAGTGATTCCAAAAGTAAAACGCAAGTAAAAACGTTGAGTCTTAAAGTGGGAATGTTTTATTCGGCTCATCGCCGTTCTTTTATATGCTTACAATCTACCTTATGAGTAATCTAATTTACAAACTTACATTTCTAAGTTGTTAGTCATGCTTATGATTCTACGTTGTTGTGCATGCATACATAAATGTATATGGGTTCAATCGAGTTTATGTTATTGGAGAAGTGCAGCGCAAGCTAAATTGATTTGAGTACTTTGGCCTAGTTATTGCCAAAAGTATATTGAACTTTTTACTTAATATTGTGTGAACATTTTGTTTTGCTTAGCTGTCATGCTACACCTCCTCTCTTTAAAAGAATGCTCATACATTTGGGTTAATGTATGAGTATTCTATTTCAATGACTTATTCAGTAACAATTAATTATTAGGTAATAAAATGTTTGGCTCACTTAGCTTATCGTTTATTGTTATGCTATTGGAAAAAGGTTTTCTTACTTTAT